AGGCAAGTGCTGAGCAATAAGGAATCCTGAACACTGGGCGACGGGACAGTGGCTGGGGGTGACGAGGCCTTGTAACGGAACTGCGCCGTGACGGTGGGTTTGCCAGTGTTAGGAAAATCAAATTTGCCTTTGTGGTTGCCCAGAAGCTAACAAACAAGTACATTTTTTTAAATTGTGAGGCTTCTGGACTCTATTCTTCAGGATGGGATGAAGGGAAGGAACAAAAATAGTTTAAGTATTTCATTTACTTTGATCAAAATGATAGGTTTGTAGCCTAAGTCAAAAGGCTCAAAATACTGTAAATGTCAAAGAAAAGATTTTGTTTTGTCTTTGAAGAGGGGATAACTGGGTAACTAACTGAACTTTAAAATTCGTAAATGAAGAAAGAAAAAAAGGTGGCCTAGTAATCAGACCATCCCTCTAAAGCAACCTTAAAAAAATGGCACCAATCACACAAGACACAGGAAGAGGAAAAGGGCCTACAGATATCAAGACTTATTATGAGGATGGTATGGTACTGCCCCCAGGATGGACAAACAGACCAAAGGGCTAGAAGAGAGCGCCATCCATTCTTTTGCACACGTACAGAAACTAGACTGTGACAATGCTGGCATTGAAGATCAGCGAGGAAACAAAGCTCCATTAATTAGATGGCACTGAGACAACTGGGCTAAAGTCAAAAGTAGGCATTTCACACAAGATAAAAAATAAATAGCAAAAAACATATGAAAAGATGAGCAACCACACTAGTAATCACGGAAATAAAAATTAAAACCAGGAGATACCATTTCACACCCACTAGATAATTGAAAACTAAAAACTGAGACAATACCAAGCGTGAAGGAGGCCAGGAGCAAGGGAAACTCCCCTCTGGACTGTGGAGAGTGTACACTGTGCATCACTTTGGACAACACTTTGGACAACAAGTTGGCATTACAAGTTAAACCTAAACAAATGCCTACCCTTGGACCCAGCAATTCTACTCCTAGTTATACTCTCTAGAAACCTTTGCATGTGTTCTCCAGGAGATATCTCCAAGAATGTAAACCATAAACTGGGAAACATATTCACCTACATAACACAGATAAGAGCTAATATATCCTTAATATTAAAACAAAAAAAAAATTTAACAAATCAATCCAATGGTCAAAAGAATTAGAAGAATCAAAGATGACACCTATGTTTCTAGTCTTGGAGAACACATAGATGCTGGTGACATCTCTAAAATAAGGAACCAGAAGAAGGAAGAGCAAAGTTTTTGGAGGGGAACAGAAAGAGAAAATTATGGAGGGGTAGAAATAATATTGTTTGGGACATGATAAATATGTGGTACTAGGGGATATCTATATTGATAAGCTCAGCAGGGAGGTAAAATTTGAATCTGAAAAAAAAAAACAACCCACTCACCCCATACACACTACTATCTCCATTTTTACTGTACTGTGTGACTTTCTGAAGACATATGTTTTGGGCTCAGGATTTTTAGCAATTTTTCTGGATACTCTTTAAATATATTTATATTACATGATCACTCTGGCCAAAGAGCTACCTACCTAAGGTGGTTTCCCTTACCATGCTGGAGAAATACATTTGAAAGAGACATACAGATTATTGAAAATTCCTAATGGTGTCCTTACCAGTAGACACATTTATGTGGTTGGGAAATAAAAAGCTTAAGAGGCAAAGACTGTTAATGCCCGTTATTAAATTTTCACTTGTAAGTTTTACTACAATTTACATTCATCCACTTTGGTTTTCATTGTTGATCACTGAGCATATTTTACTAATTATCATTTTACATTATCTCTACTGGGTTTTCTTCTCCCTATAAACAGGCTTTAAGACTTCACTAGCTCTTTTTTTAAAAAATTTATTTATTTATTCTTGGCTGCGTTGGGTCTTCGTTGCTGCACGCGGGCTTTCTCTAGTTGTGGCGAGCAGGGGCTACTCTTCGTTGTGGTGTGCAGGCTTCTCATTGCAGTGGCTTCTCTTGTTGCACAGCATGGGCTCTAGGCGTGCAGGCTTCAGTGGTTGTGGCAAGTGGGCTCAGTAGTTGTGGCTCGTGGGCTCTCGAGTACAGGCTCAGGTGGGAGCAGCTGTGGCTCACTGGCTTAGCTGCTCTGCAGCATGTGGGATCTTCCTGGACCAGGGCTCAAACCCATGTCCCCTGCAGTGGCAGGTGGATTAACCACTGAGCCACCAGGGAAGCCCCACCAGCTCTTTAAAAGCGCCATTATCAAGCCTACTTATAATGACTCTCCTTTGCCACACCTGGCCGCCTCTTTCCACCAGGCTTTCACTAGACTCTACTGCAGTGAGCCTGCATCAGAATCACCTGGCGGGCTTGTTTGACCACAGGCTGCAGGGTGCCACCCCCGCAGTTTCTGATTGGTAGGTTTGGAGCAGGACTGCGAATTTACATTTCCTAACAGGTTCCCAGGTGATGCTGATACTGATGATCTGGGACCTCACTCTGAGACTCAGGGCTCTACCAGCGTGCCTCCTGCCTCATACTATTTGCCAATTTTCACAGCTAGAGCCACTTAACTCACACGTGTTGATAATGCTCCACACAGGTAATAAGGAACACAGGCCTCTCATTGGTTCAGTGCGACGTAACTTTACGTCAGATGTGACGTGGGTAGCAGAGCTGAGCCTTTGCTGCGTTTTCCAGCTCCCGTACTTCATCCTCTCCCGGATTCTTTGCTGAACGCGCTATTTCCTCCGGCACTAGGACGCTTTGATTTCCCTTGCTCCGTTCCTTCTGGAAGCTGAAGATGAGCAGGTAAGTTCACTTCCCACATCTGGGAATCTACCTGGTTGCCTTCTGGACATCTGTGACGGTGCTGGTTTGCCTGCGCTGATTTTTTTCCGTTGTATGTTGTTAAGACTTGGAAGTTTGCCTTTTCTGTGCCAGTGAGTCTAGTGTCCTGGGTCTGGCGTTCCGGGCCTGACTTCAAATACCCCAGGCTACCTTCTTCTCTGCTTTTCAAACAGCTGAACAATGTTGTTGTTACTTCTATGACTGCTGCCCCTTCTTTCCATATCCTGATTTCTGTATTTACGGACCCCTCAAGCCCGGGCTCCATCTTCCTAATGCTCTGAGACTCAGGGCTGACTTGGTCTTTTTCCTCTATGAATGATTACTTTTCTGGTAAGATCATGAACCTTGGCTGGAAAGTTTTTTTTTTTTTTTCTTTTTTTGCGGTACGCGGGCCTCTCACTGTGTGGCGTCTCCCGTTGTGGAGCACAGGCTCCGGACGCGCAGGCTCAGCGGCCATGGCTCACGGGCCTAGCCTTTCCGCGGCATGTGGGATCTTCCCGATCCTGGGCACAAACCCGTGCCCCCTTGCATCGGCAGGCGGACTCAACCACTGCGCCACCAGGGAAGGCCCACGGCTGTAAGGTTTTTTTTGTTTTTTTTTTTTCGGTACGCGGGCCTCTCACCTCTGTGGCCTCTCCCATTGCGGAGCACAGGCTCCGGACGCGCAGGCCCAGCGGCCATGGCCCACGGGCCCAGCCGCTCCGCGGCACTTGGGATCCTCCCGGACCGGGGCACGAATCCGTGTTCCCTGCATCGGCAGGCGGACTCTCAACCACTGTGCCACCAGGGAAGCCCGGCTGGAAGGTTTTAATGCCACCTACATGCATGACTTAGAGCCTAGTAAGTGAACTCTATTTTTTTCCTTTTTAAACCTGTGTCAAGGAGGTCTATGGGCTTGCCATGCAAAGTGTAGTCTGAGGATCAGTGGCTTTCAGCATATTAGGGGAGCTTGTTAGAAATGCAGAGCTTCAGGCCTCACCTCAGATGTACTGAGTTAGAATTCATGGTGTAACGAGCCACAGGTGATTTTCATGCACATTGTAAAGAACCGATGTGTGGTATAGTGCCTATAGGATGAACTGCTCCCACCTGAGACTAGTTATTATGACTCTCAACCTTACCAATCACTACTTTTTCCAACTTCCTTATTGCTACTGATGTAATTCTACAAACCTGTGTTGGGTGAGTTTCCTGATGACAATGTGAACTATGACCTACAACCCATGATTCTGTAGGAACCCAGAGTCTCTCTGTGTATATCTCACATTTGTTGTTTCTTAGTATATCTTTTGCACAAGGCCTTTTCAACTATGTCAACATACCAAAGGAATATTGGCTTTTGGCCATGATCTGATGTGGGCTCGGATGACAGGCAGCCTGAGGGTCCGGGGCGGATAAGTACCACTCAAGTTCAACAATAAATTTTAGGTGCTTAATGTAATGCTGGCCCACAGTAGGTGACCATCCAAAAATCTCTCATCAGTATTTACTATGGAGAAGGTGTTGAAAGTAGATCGGGCTGAGTGAACTAACCCCACCCCTGGGCTTTGGTGTTGGGTGGGGCCAGCAGTACTGGTCTGGACAGTCACCACTGAATGGCCTTGTTGCCAGAAACCCATCCCTGAAGGAGCAGGACTCCAGCCAGTGACCTAGTCCACAAGTCAGGTCCAACCACTGCAGGGGAGTGGGGCTGGTAAGATATATACGGAGTGTCAGAACCTCAGTCAAGAATGCCTACATTCAGAATAGGGATACAGCTCCGAAAGGAGGAAACTGCCACATTAACCTGGAGACCCAGGTGGACAGGCCCTTATTCATAAGTAGTGCCATAGAAAGAACATGGATTCTAGAATCCAAGCTGGGTTTGTGTGACCTTGAGTAACTATCCTCAGATGGTCTTCCTAGGCAAATGAAAACGCATGTCCAGGGTCTACTAGAGGACTCAAATAGTAGATGCTTATTAAATGGTAGCTACTATTTATGTTTATTATAGAGGAAATCATATTCTTATGTGAGCCTATGGACCTCAAGACTGCTTCAGGTTCTCTGAATTCTGATCCGCCTGGTTGGAGGGTTGGGTAGCTAGTATAGTACCTCA